AATTTCTTAATTTTTCTATTTTTTGTTTTTTATATATATTTTTTGGAATGTCAAAGTTTTTCGTAAATATATATATATTTTTTATTTTGCTCATTTCTGCGCATTATGTATGAAGTTGAACGTTTAACAATTTCGCGGCTTGGCAACTTTTTCATGCAAGAAATTAGAAATACCCATGATATACCTATTTCGTTAGAACAAACCCCAGCTAAAGTGAGTTTGTTAAATATTTTCGTATGCTGGTCTTGTACCAGGCGCTGTCATTGACATGAGTTCCTTCTGCAATACACAAGTAAGCGGTGTTTTGTTGCAGTAATCGCTATTACGTTTTTCCAAAATTTTGTAAAAATAAAGTTATAAGTAGAAACTTCTCACTACATACCTATAGATACGAGTATATATTGCTATTTAGGTTATACATATACACTCGTACACATTTCACACGAAAAGTTGTAAGTAAAAATGTTTGCTTGGTGTGATTTACTAATTTACTTCTTTCGTCTTGAAACCATTCTGAAAGTGGATTTCACATTAAGTGCTGGAAAGTTCTACATGTTGGCACTTACTGCCAACTCTAGTATTTATGCATGTTTTTAGAACAATTTTCTTGCATTTCTAAATTTAAAGCTTTTCTGTTGAAACACTGATTCAGTTTATGTAGAAAATTCTTAAAAAATAGACTAATTTTTTATAAATACAAGACAGCAGGAAGTATAATTATGTAGCATTACAATTGCAGCAAATATATTTCATTTGCATATAGGCAGAAATAAATTTTTAAAAATTATAAAATCAAATTAGAGCTATTTTTCATTTAGTTTATGAAGTTATTTTTTTCCAAGAAGAGGTCTTTCGAACAGTAGTAAACTACAATAACAAAAATTTTATTTTTTATATTATTTTAATTAATTGAATTTTTGGCTGACCATACAGCTGTTTCGAGTATTGCCAAATACCCATCATCAGTGGTCTTGGAAATAATTCTTGTATTTAACTATTCGTAAATATTTATTTTTTTGAGACTGCAAGTCTCAAATCGAACTCGGGTCCTGGCAAATGTGAAGCTCAGAATCAGCGCACTTTTACCAACTGATCCAAAGCCGTACTGACTTTTTATATTCGCATAATTTTCTGGAGTTTTACTTTTGCTATGAAAGTTTTTATGAACAATTTTATTTTTTACTTTAAAGATATCTCATATATTATTAGCTACTAATGTTCATTTTTTTTCGTATGTCACAAATACCATTTTTTTATAGTCAAGCAGCAATATTGTTATAATTACCATAACGGCAATGGCCACTTACAGCTATGAACTTAGAATCAAGCAAACTACTGACTCACTGAATATCGTGAAGAAGCACCATATTTGATAGGCTTTTGATTCAAGGAAATCTAGAAGTAACACGAGTAAAGTATGTAATTACAACTTAAAAAACAATATGTTCAGCAAGCTTATGTAGTCAGCTGCTTCAATTAAGACGGAATCTGCTCAGCACCACGGTATCTGTGCTGAGGGGCCAATGCGAAATAGGAAGGCATGCTATGAGACTGGATCTCCATCACAATGACTTTTGTCGAGGCTGTGGCTATGAAGATGCGGAGGAGACCGTGCTCCATCTCATGTGTTAAGTGCCCTTCGTGAAATCATATTCTATCTCAATCTGTTGTTTTTTTTTTAGGTTTATATTTAAGTAATTTTTATACGGTTTAATTTATATATTAACCAACCAGCTTTCGGTTTCCTTATTTATAAAGTTTTACTTATACGTTTTCTTAACAATTTTACAATTTAAATAAAATTAATTCATAATTCTTTTTTAATTTCTATAAGAGGATTTTCTTTTCACTTTTCTTTTAAGTAAGCTTATGCTGTTAATGTTATTTATTATTTAACTGGATTTCAATTTTCTTATTTATGAAGGACTATTTACAGGTAGTTTATTTAAAAATATATTATTTTTTCAACATTATTTTTTTTATTTGATAATTTATTCATTCCGATAAGAGGATTTTCTTTACACTTTTCTTTCCCTTCTGTTTTTTTATATCAATTTTTTTGTAAAACCTCTTTTTATGATTTTTCTTTCATCTTTTAATAGAGTCAATAAATAAAAGAAATATTAATTAATTCAGTACCAATTATTTTTTTTTCGAAGGATACTTTTAATTACTTTAGATTGTTCTACAAAAATCATTAAAAATTTAAAATAACTTCTCACAAAGAATGAAGATCAATTAAACTGTCGCTTGCGTTGCAATCAAAGTGCCAATAAAACTCTTAATAATCAATTCAAAAGGCAATCTATGAACTACTTAATGTCCTTAATATCATTGACAGTCATTGATTGGTAAACGATATCATTTCTATTATGCAAAATATTAAAATTCTCGGCACAAGCCTTTGATGTGCGAGTACGAGGAATGCACAACAGACTCATTAGACTAGTGCATGTGCGCCTTGAAATCAATATAGTAAGTTAACCTATATCTATAGACATGTTATGTTACAAATACTAATGTACATATTGTATGTGTATGTGCATGTGCATGTGTGTTGCAATAAGGACTCACATTTGCAAATTTAATTATTAAGCAAAATGCAATTGCATGCGAATAACATTGCATGCAAATGACTCTCAGTTATCCCGAAACGAAAGGATGTCAAAAAAAGAAAAACTGCACAACAATGTCTGTCTGTTTATCAATCAATCAATTGTCATTAGCTTAGTAGCTATAGCTGCTTTATAATATTTTTTTAATATTAATTCAGTTTACTCGTTGCTATGTACATGTGCGTGCATAAATTTGAATTTAATAACACATATGTAAGTAACATTAAAAAGATATTACTTACATATGTGTTATTTTAGTCCCGCTTAGGAAAGAGTTCGTGTGAATTTAATGGAATTTTAATTGAACATGCAAGTTTATTAGGAGAAATAAGGCCTAATATTTTATCAGTAATATTGTACATTACTATAAAAAATAATAATTGAAGTGGCACATCTTAAAGTAGATACATTTAAAAATGTTTTCGATATTCTGCCTGAACCTACATATACTTTTTTGCCACAATTTATTTGGCACTTTAACTGAACCCACTGAAACCAGCCATATTTGCATAATTCACTTTAACAGAGTATAATTTTTCTGGTATGTTATCATGTGGCACACATATTTTATTACCTGAAGTCATATTAGAAGGTCTTATGTCGTAAATAAACAAGCATAAAATATGGTAATTCAATAAAGATGTTGTTATAGGCATGTGCGAACACTTTCACATCGTCTGTGACTCTTTAAAATTTAAAATGAGCTTTGTGCCAAAGCAAATTTAAACCGAAAAGTGATATGTGGGGAAATTTTATTTAAAAATGTTGAATAATCAACTTAAAATTTTAAAGGTTTCCACTGTAACACGTTTAGGGAAAGTTTTTGCAAAAGTTTAGAATTTTTAACTAAGATGGTGAAAATTTTTAATAATAATAAAAGAGAAAATAACCCCAACTTGAAAATTACTTGCAACTAAAAGTATTTACCAGTGGTAGAAGAACCCAAGTTTGCATGTCATTAGAATTTTTAACTATTTTTGTTGATTTTTTGTTAGAATATCTTGTTGAAAATTTTATAAATAGTTGCTGTTAGAATAACAAAATAGTTTACAATAATAAAATAAATACCTTTACTAAAATTTTAGACGTGTGTTCAAGTAGAAGATTAAGACATAGATCACCACTTGATGTTCAATAATCTATATATACCTAAATATAAATATAACGAAAGCTACCAAAAAATATTTTCGAGTATATCCCATTCCTTGGCACAGTCTTGGCTACACTACTGTGACTGTTATATGTAAAAGTAATAAGATGTTAATATTTTATAATGACTTCTACAAAGCCAAGAAACTTACTAAGCACATTGTCAGCTGAAAGACAATGCCACTAACTATATCTTTAGTTCTAAGCAAGAAGTAACATATTTCGAGTCCATAATGAATGAAAATAAAAATTTCGATTTTCTATCCCATTTTAGATCAATCTTTAGAAAGAGACGTGCATGTCAAAAATTCAAAAGCTATTTAGATGAATGGATCACGCCTTGAACTACAGTGAGATTGTGGAACAGTTAAGAATAGAATCTCTAATATCGTTAGAGTTTGTTGGATTTAACAGACAGAGTAAAGGCGCAATATAAATAATTATTTATATAATAACAAAATAATATTAAACTATTTTTGCTGTAATAAGCTGTTTAACTGTTTTTTATGTATACAGAAATTCATAAAAATATTCGAAACATTTGCGAATATTTATTCAAATATGTTGACTTTTTTATATTCGCTATAAAAATATTTTTTAAATTGTTAATAACATAATTTGCATTTTTGTTCAAATCTTTTACTTACTTAGATTCATATAAAAACTTTTAAGTTTTACAAGGATAATAATAAATTTTACGACCATGTATATTAAATAAAATATTTATCTCAAAACCAATAAAATTCAATTTTTCTTTAAAATTCACCTCAGCCACTTAATAGTGAAAAAAGTTTTTACAATTTTGAAATTGTAAACATTTAATCATGTGACCTTTAAAATGCTTAGAGAATATGCAATCAAATATTTATATTTCATATTGTTTAATTGAAAACGATTAAAGACCACAAAGTATGTAAATATGTTTATTTTATCAAAATTCCAACCTATAATTATATGTTATATAAAAGCGATTTCAATTTAATTAATTTCGTTTCTATATTGTTTAGATGCATTCAAATAAAAAGTAGTGTGAATGCGATATATAAGTGTAGTGGATTTGTAATTGTGGTAACATAAGCATACATCAATATTAATGAGTAATCTGCATATTTACTTAAATCTCAATAATATGGTGGAACTGCAATGGTAAATAAATTTTTCATTTTGCCACCAAAAACACACCACATACGTTACACTTTGTTCGCATTAAAACGCACTCAATCATATTGTACTCACCTTTATACATTAAACCGCAATTGATACCAAATGTATGCGTGTCAAAGGTGTCGTGCTCCAAATGTAATTGTATGCGTATACGTTGAGATTGTGTTGTTTTTTGTTGTTCTTGTTGGCTAGCATTTGTGGTTTCTGTTGTTTCCGTTTCGTCAATAATGTCAACGTCATTCAAAAATTTGCTTAAACTTTCATCACAGTAATTTATTTCAGCTCCTGTTGTAGTCGTTGAGGTTGTAGCTGCTGCTGCTGCTGCTTTTCTTGTTGTTTTTGTCGTAGTAGTTGAAGTTGTTGCTGTTAATCTTGCTGCATGTGCTTTATCATTCGTTGTTAGTGTTACTGCAGCTATGCCGGCAGCATGTAGCGGATTTACGTTTGCTTCGGCTATTAGTGGCTGGTTTTGCGCAGCAAAAAATGGTAAAGAAAATAATGTATTTGTTGCTTTTGTTTCGTTTGTTGTTTCACTTGCTGTTTTTGTTGTTTCTATTGGTGCTTGATGAATTGGCAGCATTTGTTTAACGAGCGTCTCATTTTGGACATCATCATTATCAGCATTCTCATCAACATCATCAACGTAAACATTTTTAATATTGTGATTTGCATTATTTTTTAATTTATCATCATTTAATATATTCTCTACAGTTGTTTTTTGTTTATTAAATAAAATATTTTTTGTATTCGTTTTGTTTGATTTATTTTCGTTGTTATTGTTGTTGTTATTATTATTGCGGTTATATTCATTTTCATTATTATTATTTGTATTATTATTGCCAATGCTGCCGCTGTTGTTGTTGCTGCTGCTCTTGTTTTCTTTGTTATTGCTATTTTCTGTATGAACGCCAGCTGCACTGCTTGCGATATTTAAAGTAGCAGCGGTTACAGTTACTCTGTCTGTATGTTCTGTGGGTGGTCCAGGAGAGCGGCCGGGCGCTGGGTCACTGTTCATGTGGCCAACAGTCTGTATTGCAAAAAGTCCGAAAAATAAAAGGTAAACAACTAATTTCGTCATTATCACAACAACAGCGTTGGTAGTTTTGTTGCTGCAGCGGTTTTAATTGGATTTCCATAGACGTTAAAGTTCTTAGTCTAGAAATAAAAAAATATGATAATGCTTCTTCGTGTTTAACTGTACTATTTAAATGCGCTATTAAATATTTTCTTGCAACTTATTTGTCATTCGTGCTATTGTTGTTTTTGTTTTTTTGTGTAGTTTTATTATGCTTTATATTATTTTTGCAAATATTGAAGGCGCATATATTGTCCATATGCTGTTGTTGTTGTTTTATGCATAATGTTCCTGTTACTTTGTTTAACACTTCTTCTGCTATTGTATAATTTGTTGTTTTTATAATTGTCATTCTTGAATACTGTTCGTTTTGACGTCACCTGCAAAGTGTATAAAACAATGATTTAATTAAAATTATGAAAAAGTATTTTTTTAATTTAAAATAAGAGAAAATTATTTTTTATATAATATAAACTTATATGTATTATATACCCAAATTAGTATATAAAACTTTTTCTCTATACACAGGCATATATAAATTTTATTATTTTAGTAACTCTTCAGTGTTATAATAAATATTTTGATTAAAGCATTATATTATACCTGCTTTACATGCTTCCATCAAAGGTGAAGCAACAATTTTCTGGGTAAATGTCAAAGTTCTTCGTACAAAATACAAAAATTTTACACACATATGTATGTTTATGTATGTGTGAAAAGGTTAAAGTTCATTCAACCTATGGTATTGGTAATGCACCACCAGCAACACTTGGTTTTTATTATATTACGTCGTACATGTGTTTTTTGTGTTTTTAGTTCTTTTGATTATATTTTGTTTTTTTCTCATTGCTTTTATATTTTTTAGTTAACGTCGCAAGTTTGGCAATTGCAGCGCAGCGTAACGCAGCGTTTACTTACTTAGTTAAAGTACGCATCGTATTAATAAATAAATTTGTTACCTTTGCTCTTCATGTTTCAATTCCTTTCAATTTCAGTTTCAATTCCAATTCCACGTGCGTGTTGGAACCCAAAATAATAATTCCAGAAGCACTCAATGACATTTTACGTGGAATGTCAACAAACGTAGGAGTTGAGTTATGTGCTCATTATTTTAATTAATATGTCTTAATCTATTTTATATTTTATATACTTTATTATACACTATAATTTTGTCGAAAATTGCTAACAATAAAAAGGTTTTTATTGTTAATGCTCTTTGTATTGAAATTCATTTTTCATATAAGGTCCAAGCGAATAAAATATGTCACCCGTTGAGATAAAAATTTCTGGCTAAAATATGTAACCTGTATATCAAATTTCATTTATTTAATTACATTATTTTTAATAGGCCAAGCATAATTATGAAAAAAATGTATTATATATTTCAAAAATTTTGAATTGTAGGACTAGGACTAGACCTAATAAATATACGCGTGATTAAATTGATATAAAGTATGTAATATAGTACAATAGCTATCCGTGACAGTGCGTCTATTGTTGGACTATTTTTTCTCGCCCATTTCAAAGTTGTTGAACGATTTCTTTTACTTCAGCTACATTTAGTAAAGTCCTAAACTTTTGCGGTCAATGTTTGACTACTCTGATATGTGTACCAAGTCTTTCAGGAAAATTCCTCTTTTATAGTATATAAGAGCTGGAAATGGAATTGGAAATTGGAAAATGTCTATTTCTATGTTTTTTATACTTAGTTTGCATTCGTCAGTTTCTGATACGTTTCATTGCACTTTATGCTTGTTGAAAAGCTATGACCAGTTATCACTCCCATTGTTTTGTTTTTAATCGATCTATTCCGATTTTGAAGATATTTGCTTTTCATCTCTAGACTATTGTGAGATAAAAAGATTGGTTCAGCAGGATCCTCTCCCATCAAAGCAATTGTGATTAGTTTTGAAGAGATTTATGCTGACATCAACCAATATGGCTGCCATGAGACAGTTTCCTTAACTAATTTAAATGACGGGATCCTCTTCCGTGAAAGCAATCATGATTAGCTTTGGAGTGATTTTTGTTGATACCGGTCTATATGTCTGCATTAAGACATTTTCCTTATCTAATTCGTTTGCTACTCTAATACAATGAAAACCACTGTAGCAGGTGTCTAGTTAATTAATCCGTTTAGTTAATACATCTTTCCACTTTTATTAGATTAAAAAACTAATGGAACTAATATATATGATAAATGATAAATGGATAAATGGAACTAATATTGTCTTATGAAAAATTGTAATTGTCATTTAGTTATTATAGTAAATACTATAAACATTTGTAGTTCAATTATAATAAAATCGAACTTGATTTATGATTAATAATAGTGATATTTAGCATAATGCAATGTTGATAGAATAATGTTTACGTCGTGAAATTATATCCAGGTCATAATATTTTACTTGTTATATACGTTGAAGGATTTAACTATATACAGTCAACTATTAAAGGTATTTGTTATTAATAGCGCTCACATTTAGTACTATGAAAACCGGTTTTGACAGAGCTTCTCTTGTTGCAAATTCAGTTGTTACCAATTTATCTAATTTTTTCGCTTCTCTTCAATATTCTGATATCCATAAAACCAGATAAAAGATTCATTACACCATTCGCCTAAAGTGGTTAGACTTTTTAAAGCTTGTTTCAGATGAGGTATATTGACGAGTCTTTTGTTTTGTTTGTAAGCATTTCCAGAAACATTCTTCAATAGTATGAATTTAATCAGAGAAGAGAAAATCAACTGCCTACAATCAATCAAAAGAAAGGAGAGAATTTTGCAATCTATATAGTTCCGTTTTAGTATATCGCAATAATTCAATTTTAAATCAGAAGTGTATTTAATATATACGTTTGCAAAGCTATATAGTATATCGTATTTAATACATTACTGTAGAAGAAACTGAACATTTTGAAAGCATATATTTAATATATGTAGATATTTTTTTGCCAATAAAGTTAATAATTAATAAGTAAGTTGCCTAATTACAAATATCAAATTTTTGCTTACATGTGGGCAACTAGTTGTTCACTAATAAGAATTAAATAGAAATTACTGACAAAGTTAATTGAAATGCCAGATGACACAAATGTTACAAAGTTGTATATAATTCTATATATATATATATAAGCAGTATGGACGCACGTTTGTCTATCTGTCCAGTCGCTTAAGGCTTGAAGCCTTGAACATTACATAAGTATGATTTGGTTAAAAAAATAACTCTGTTTACTCTGCCGTGCTGGCACCACACTGGAGCAGCAGCTGTTTGTTTATTTCAATAAAGATTGCTACTTATTTTAATACTATCTTTGGGCACTCACTAAACAATTTATTAATTAAAATTTATTTTCCAGCTAAATGTAAATGTGTTCACTAAGTACTCATGTGCATACCCATGTACATTTGTATGTCTACTCAAGCTACATACTATGCTCCGCACATCAGTTGAGCTAACTAACAAGGAAACAAGCATTTATATAAGACTTTAAGGCAACTTCTTGAAGGAGCTTGCAATAGCAAAAGATGTACATATTCTTAAGTGTATTTTATGTAGAATACATATGCGAGAATATATATATACATTTAAGTACTCGTAAAATACTTTTCGCTTTTGTTTGAGCATATTTCCTGCAATCTTTTTCCTTTAACATCAAGAAGTCATATGAGAAGCAAGTACTTCATTCCCCATACAAGTGCATTAAGTTTAATGTTTGTGATCCTAATAGAGAACACATGATGATGGAGTGGAGGATTGTGCTTGTATGGAAGATTTTATGTTGTTGTGTTCAAAATGTTATTTCTAATGTGTGTATAATTAATTTTAATACTAATTATTATAGCATCATATATACACTCAAATATGTATATCATTGTTTATATATTAATTTAGATCCTTTATATATACTTGATGAAGTTCAAAAAGAAAAAGAGTTGATAGCTAATTTAATAGTTAGTAATTTGTAGGAGTAATGCAGAAAGTAATTCATTACACATGCTTTGTTTAAAGTAATTGATGTGTGGCTTGATGTGGTAATTAAATAATATTTACTTTTCTGAAGGTTGGCAAACTTCTGTAAATGAGTAAATCACATAACCTCTTTTTTAACCACTTTAAGTAAGTTTATAATTTTGTATCAAGCAAATTAACAAAGTTTTCACATTAATTTTTACTGTTTTGTTTTTATTCTAAATGAAAATAAATAACATACCTAAATGTTAACTTTATAAGGAAATTAAATTTGTGAATCTTAAGTAAAGTTAGATGTTTTCGTGTGAAATTAATATTAATATTAATGAAGAAGATGGATTATGGAAGATGTTAGAAAAGTTAAAATATTAATTTTACTTAGAATTATAAAAGATGAAAGAAGAAAAAAATTATAGGTATGATTTTTTAAACCTCAATGACTTTTAACAGAGATTTTGGTTAAAAACTCTAGATTTATGTTTAGTTAGTAAGCTAACAGATAAAATCATTATCATTACAAAATCACTACAAAATCACTAAAATCTCAAAAGAGCACTGCATGTTATTTATGAAAAACACCATTTAAATATATATATTTTATATTAAATATAATCCTGATTTTGTCAGCTTTCTTATATTTTTTA